ACCTGGACTTGTGCAAAGCATTCAACACTGTCCCACACGACATCCTTGTCTCTAAGTTGGAGAGACATCAATTTGATGTATGGACCACTCAGTGGATAAAGAACTGGCTGGATGGCTGCATGCAAAGAGTTGTGATTAACAGCTGAATGTCCAGCTGGAGACCAGTAGCGAGGGGTGTCCCTCAGGGATCAGTGTTGGGACTGGTCTTCTTTAACATCTTCGTCGCTGACATGGACAGTGGGATTGAGTGTGCCCTCAGCAAGTCTGCCAATGACACCAAGCTGTGTGGTTCGGTTGATACACTGGAGGGAAGGAATGCCATCCAGAGGGACCTTGAGACACTTGTGAGGAGGGCTGGTGCCAACCTTATGAAGTTTAACCATGCCAAGTGCAAGGTCCTACACCTGGGTCGAAGCAATCCCAGGCACAGCTACAGACTGGGCAGAGAAGAGATTCAGAGCAGCCCTGCGGAGAAGGACTTGGGAGTGTTGGTTGATGAGAAACAGCATGAGCTGGCTTCAGTGTGCGCTTGCAACCCAGAAAGCCAACCATATCCTGGGCTGCATCAAAAGGAGCGTGACCAGCAGGTTGAAGGAGGTGATCCTGCCCCTCTACTCTGCTCTTGTGAGACCCCACTTGGAGTATTGCGTACATTTCTCGTGTCCTCAACATAAAAAGGACACGGAACTGTTGGAACAAGTCCAGAGGAGGGCCATGAGGATGATCAGGGGACTGGAGCACCTCCCATATGAAGTTAGGCTGAGAAAGTTGGGGTTGCTCAGCCTGGAGAAGAGAAGGCTGCGTGGAGACCTCACAGCAGCCTTCCAGTATCTGAAGGGGGCCTATAAGGATACTGGGGAGGGACTCTTCATCAGGGACTGTAGTGACAGGACAAGGGGTAACGGGCTGAAGCTTAAACAGGGGAAGTTTAGATTGGCTATAAGGAGGAAGTTCTTTCCTGTTAGGGTGGTGAGGCACTGCAATGGTTGCCCGGGGAAGCTGTGAATGCTCCATCCCTGGCAGTGTTCAAGGCCAGGTTGGACAGAAACCTGGGTGACATGGTTTAGTGTGAGGTGTCCCTGCCCATGGCAGGGGGGTTGGAACTAGATGATCTTAAAGTCCTTTTCAACCCTAACTATTCTATGATTCTATGATTCTATCTCCCCTCACCCCTCATGATCTCCTCTCATGGCCACTCCTTTTCTCCCTGTCATGATCTCCCCTCACTCCTCATGGCTGCCCCTCCTCTCCCCTCACAATCTTCTGTCATGGCCACCCCTCCTCTCCCGTCATGATTTTCTTTCATGGCCACCCCTGGATGTTGATGATTTTACATGATTATAAGAAAGTTATTATGAGTTCAGTAATTTGAACATTAGCCTTTTCTGCTTTAGTTTTAAAATGCTTGGCTTGGCACACTGCCTCTTGCCTGCATCTTCACCCCAGGGTGCAGTAATCCATCTACAAGAATCAGCCCAATTTCAGCACACTCATTCTGGTGCTGTGCAAGTGTGATTTGCAGTTTGTGTAGTTCTGCTGACTGGTACTACACATGGATGTACTTTTATGATAGTTTTTTTTTTCTTCCTTTTTTCCTTAGCTTCCAAATGATTAGGGAAATGAAACTCTGGAAATTGAATGTTGCTGCTGTAAGAAGGCAGACAGGCATAATGTAGGGTATTCACAGCCCTTCTTGGTACATGCTGCGTGCATGCTGGGCATGGCGAATTTTGTGTGTGCAAGAAGATCAGGACAAAGTCTGTACTTTACCATGGGGATCAGAGTTATTTCCCTTACATAACATTTTCATTTATAGGCAAGTTTCAAAGAGGTATCTCTGTGGAGGCATGTTTCTCGTGTGCTGTAGTTTTTGCATGCTGTTGACTGATGATATCTGTTTACTGTTTTAGGTGGTTTATCTAAAACAGGGCCTTTATAAAACTGATTATTTAAAAACTTTAATGACATTTTTCACTTGAAAAAACCTTGGAGGACTTCTTGCCTTTAATCATAACTGTATGAATCATTGTAAGTGAAAAAAAAGACGTTAACTTTTTTCACTGAATTTGCATTCAAAGCCAGACCGTTAAACTATAGCTAAATAACAGCAATAATAAAATTTCAGAAAAAAAAAAAAGTGCTTGAACTTCCTTAATATTTCAAAACTTCATCAAGAGGGGGTCTCATTTTTCAGGGAATTCCATGTAGATGAAATCAGATACTCAGATAATGGCTTGTCTCTAAAGGTGACTGGTTTGAACCCAGATGCTTTGAAGATATATAGGAAGGATAGGCAATGGCAGTGCCCCCCAGCAACCACCTTGGACTATTTGGCAAGTCTTCTCTGGAAGGAGAGAGAGAAAGAATGGAAATAGAGCTTTCTCTTTCTTCTATTGAGTAAGCAGTCAGGCAGGAGCCATGGTAAGGCTCTGTGGGGGTATGAAAAGGACTGGGGATATCAAACTTCAAATGAGTTAGCTCTATATTCAGTCAGTGCTCCTGTAAGCTGAGTTTAGCTGGCAGCTACTCATCAGAGGTGTCTCTGTCCCACTGACAACCTTTCAAGTTGTAAACTGCAGCTACCCTATTTCAAGCTCTGTGTTTAGTTCATGTGATAAAAGGAGTGCACCAAAATAACTTAGAAATAAGCCTACTAGATATACAGTCACTGGGAGGTGGTCCTGATCCCTCAGTTTCCTGTGCAAGACCACTGCTAAGGAAGAAGTCCCTGGGAAAGTATTTTTAATAGTCTTGGGTAAAGGCTTCCTGGGAGGGCTTCAGGAAGAAGCTTCTGGAGGTTCATGGTCTGGACATGTGCCTGTGTAGTCACCCTCAGTAATGGATTTAGGAGGTGATCCATGAAATTGGCCAGGAAACCATTACAGCAGGATAAACGCTAACTTTGATTAAATGAAATTAAGAAAATGAATTTTAAACAAAGGAGGTATGGTGCTGGCCAGATGAGCCCAAAAATTTCCTGGCACTTAATTTAATGATGCATTTGTACTTTCCGGGTGAATACAGCGGGAACTGGTTCATCTCCCTTTCTGCTTTTGTTTCATTTATCACTCTTGGATTATTGGTTCTGTTTACTCTTAACATAGTCCTTTCATTTGCTTTTTTGGGTGTAAAAACGTCCAGCTGCTGTGCTCAGCCTGAACTACAATTAACATAGGGTAATGGTGGAACAATTAGCTACAATTAACATGGAGTAATAATGAAGCAGGAGAAAAAAGTGCCCTGCCAAGGTGTTTTGTAAGGAGCCCAACACTATACTTTTTGCAACGGAATTGTTGCCCATATGCTGTACATCCTGAGCCTTCTGCTGGTGTTACTGGCAGCTCTTCGAAATGTGACCTTCCCCCTGCAGCATGTTGCTATTACAGCAAGTGGTGCTTCCACATTAGTTTGCAGATGTAATCTGATGGAAACCTTTTTCCATGATGTATGAATGGCTTCACTGACAGGGAAAAGGATTTCAAATTTGGAGCAGGGTTTCCCAAGTGGTGGTGTGGTCTCAAGCCTAGAAAGTGGTATCCCACCTCCTCTCTCTTTCAGTCTGGGAAAAAATGTTCCTGTTCACTGCTGTGTGCCAAAAATGCTTTGAAATCTCTTGCTGGAACCTACTAATTTTGAATATCAAGTAGCTAGAGTTATTTCAGCTCTTCTAGTAGAAAGGAGAAGTGAAAAGGCTTGGAAAAATCTCAGTCTTTTTGGCAGAGAGGTTATTTTCAGCTCTTTCCTTCCTCTTGCCCCAGAACTTTAAAATTTAGTAAAGAAGTTGAAGAATGTGCACAAGAAAAATGTTTTCACTTAAGTAGGGCTGCAGGGACCCTCCCAAAGAGAAACTATGGCTGTTTTCTTTCATCTTCTGAGCACCTCCTGCAAAGCTAAACAGAGATAAGAGGAATAACAAGGAAGAGAAGCGCTTTACAGGAATCCCACCATGGGAGGTCAGTGGAAATTCTCTCTTCCTGAACAAAGCTGTTTGCTTCTGTTTGCTTTAAGTTAAATGTTTAAATAGCAACATTACATTGGGGTGTGTGCTCCTTGAGATACGAGATCCAGCCTTTGCATACCTGTAAGAAAGTGTTTTTCCTTGTACTCCTAAAAACAGGTCGGTTGTGTTTGATACTATTGTGAACAAATAACCTTTTTGATAAATCAAAAATTAAGATGTTACTGGAAACAGGATTGATGAGAAGATGCCATGGCATTTACATTATCATGTTATCTACTTATAAGTAGAGTCTTTTGAGGATAGGATATTAGGGAGTATTTTTGGTTCAAGCGCCAACTTGCTAGGTAAATATTTTCATATTTTCACTTTCAACATCTGAATTGTTACTTTTAGTCTATTTTATAGACTGCTTTCATAGAAATTTTCACAGGTACTTGACATTTTTCATCTCCTCCAATTCTCTTTTATTACTGTAAGTGTGATTACAGCTTTGTACCTCATATTTGCAGGTTAACAACTGTGATTAAACTGATAGGACAGCTAAGTCTTTGGCTTCCATTTGGGCGTAAATCACTCAGTTCTTTTGCCACCAACACACACAGGTATTTGGTGCTTTAATCTGAAGCACATCAGTTGCTGTCTGCAAGAGAATTCAGGCACATTCGTGATCTGCTTGTATTGGCAATATGAACAGATGGCTCAGGTGTGAGCTAGAACCTGAACACAGGTAGCAAGTATTTATGATGAATGTGGTCTCTTGCAAGCTGGAGACCTGTGCATCTCCAAGAGTTGCCCTCAACACCTTTATTTTTTTTTTTACTCCCCCACCACCAGAGAGAGGCCAAGTCTTGGACTGGAGCACTAATGAGAATGAACATGGCAGTCCACACATGGATCATTTAAGGGGCTCAGAAACCTTGCCCTAAAACGTTGGCAATAAAATAGTCTGTCTGCCATGGTGTCAGGCTGGCCCACATACATCCACAGAAGTACCAAAGGGTATTTATGAACAAGTAGAAAATACAGGAGGAGCTGAGACTTACATGGAAATGTTGTTTCTGAAGAATAAAATTTTATTTTTTTTCTGAAAAAACTGCATACACATGTTCGGATCTGTTCAACCTTCAAAACATGTCTTACTTTCCCAACAAACTGTATTCTTTGAAGCATGCAGGACCCCACTGCAGCTTGATAAAGAAGTTAGGAGGGTTGTTTTAATCCTGTAACTGTGCAAACATCATTTGAAAGCTATTTACATTTTTCACCTCTCACTTCTAATAACAGTAGCATTAGCTGTTAGATACATGCACTGTATAGCTAAAACTTCTGATTTGGCTTTCACATTTGATGTAAGTGTAGAGTGAAAACCAAATAAACCTTCCATTGTTCAAGAAACTCTGCACAGGCAATTATACGAAATCTGTTTTCTTCTTTATAAAGGAGAACTCTTTAAGCACTCAGACTTCCCTGCAGTTATTAAAATATTACTTCCACTCTGTTTTCTGGATTGTCTTCCTCTGGCATAAACATGAACTTTGCTTGCCTTGGTGAATGGGAGCAGAAAGAAAAGATGTCTCAGTTTTTTATCAAAGAAGGCAGGAGTTTACTGAATCAGAGCCATTTCTGTTTCTTTCTGTCAATTTCAGTAAATTGCAACATTACCTATAGTATGTTTATTCTGCTATCTTATAGAATCCTAGAATGGTTTGGGTTGGAAGGGACCTTAAAGATCATGTAGTTCCAACCCCCCTACCATGGTCAGGGACACCTTACACTCACTAGACCAGGCTGCTCAAAGCTCCATCCAATGCAGCAACTCAGTTGCAAAAAATTGGATTCAAGTTCATACTCCTATTACTATCTCTGTTCTGATTTCTTCTCCCATCCGTTAGAAACAGAAGTCAATAACCAGCCAGATATTAGTGCTGAAATCATGCTATATTATACTGATCTCCTTGTATTCTCTAACCTGGGTCAACGAAGATGTGGGATGTTTTGCCGCTGCACTCTGTTGGCAGAACTTCTGTATGTATAATGAGTGTAGTACCTCTCCTCACAGCCATTATAAACAGTCTTTGCTGTTTCGTATGTGCCACTGTGATCAAATCAGGATGCTGAAAGTGGGAGCTGGTTGAATATTAAGTAAACATGGCATTCCAGGTAATGTGTTTAATTATCACATAGCAAAAGCTGGCCTGTGTTTCTTTTAATATGGACTGTGCAGCCAGTAGTGCAGTATTCTGATTTTCAGCTATATTAATTAAGCAAGCCATGTTTTATAAGAGAAAATATTTTCATCACTGCAAAACTGCCTCAGAATACACAAAATTGAAGAAGACACTGCATTTCACAAGTTGCAAGAGCTGCTAATCACTACTCAGGCAAGTTCAGTTCACGATGGAAACTGTACTTTCAGGCTGGCCTCCAAATAGCTGGGAGAAGAACTCAAAAGCCAAGCGGATGTGGATAGGCACGAAGACGTAAGCTGTGTACACCACCATAGCAAAAACAGTCACGGTGATTGTGTGAAACATGGACCGCTCCCAGGGCTCCAGCACATAGCTGCAGGTTATCAACAGGTACTGGTAGTACAGCCAGTAGATGTAGTCCTTCACATGCTTAATATCCATCTTCAGCTTCCAACGATTTTGAGAAAATGACCTGTAATAATAGAGAAGTCTGGATTACAGCTGCAGTGGAAAGGAAGACCTGCAACTAAAAAATGATGTAGTGACCATCATTTCAGGTTTATAACACATGTAATTATTACATAAAGTTCAAACAGAAATAATGTATTGCTACAATCACCAACCAACCTTTACTTCCCTGGAACAGAAGAAAACAGTCTTTAGGTCTAACAACTGCTGCTTGCAGTTACTGAACCTGTATTAGTTGGGCACTCTCAATTCCTGCGTTCTGATTGTGAGCATGTTGTGCTGTTCATTCTGCAATAGGAATTAAAACCACATTAGCTGACAAAGGCACAGGATTTCACTTGGAATTCAGGGAGATATGCTTTTAAAAGAAATGGCTTTGGCCCAGCATCATTAAATGTGAATGGCAGACTCATATGCTCTGGAGTAAAGATGAGATTAAAAGAACTGCTCTGTAAAAACTTTGCTTCTGATAGTTATTATTCTGCAATGTTTGGGAATAAGACAAACTATGAAAGGGAGGAGAAAAAAGTAATCTCAAATAACATAAGTTGGTTTATGTTTTAGCTCATTAAAAAGAAATATGATACATTACATATTAAATGAGTATTTAATAGAATTTGCAAGTCTAGGAAAGATTTTTCTTTCAGGTAGTACCTTTAGGCATTAATTATTCCTGTCTCCACACAGAAAGGAGGATGGCTGAGCAAGTATTAACTAGAAATGAGCTTTGACTTCCACTGCTTTTTATTAAAATTGCTTTTCAGTATTTTAAGTAATCTTTAAATTCAGGCTAGAAACATCTACTTAGAGAAAACTCAGAGAGAATGATAAGCAACTGTATGAAGCTTCACAGGGGGACTCCTTTTTTGGGGGGGTTGAGTTTAAGGACATGCATTCTGCCCAGGTCAACTCACAGGAAAAGGGAATACAGCAGATTTAGTACTGCTAGTAAACCTTCTGATGTACCATTTTGTTCTACACTTCTGTTACCTAAAATGCCAGGAGCAGAGGTGCTTAGACATGTCATATCCCTCCAGTCTTGTGTTCATCATGAGGTCTGGGCAACAGAAATTTTCTGTCCCTCAAAGCAACAAATGCTAGCACTGGAAAACTTGCAGTCAGTGTTTAAAATAATGATGGTACACTGATATAGGCTAAGTATATTAGCATATTCAATAGTTTACCTCCTCTGAAGGCTGTACAGTATATTCTGGTGGTATGTGGGTATTTACTGAAGGGAAGACAAATAACCAGTAAAAAGCATCCCTGTTTCGTCTTGTCATAGTTTTACTTTGGTTACTGATGTGTAAGGTTTTTGTCTGGTGTTTGCACTGTGAAGTGCACTCACCTTGATGGGTTGTATTTCTCCATGTGTCTTCCTTTAGGTCAGTGGTACTTGCAGTTCAACACTCCCACATAGCATGGGAAGTGGAGCATCCTGCCAGCCTAGCTTACACCTCACCATCTGGGGATGCTGCAAGGCGGATTTTGTTTTTTGCCCTTTCTTCTTTGGGAAGGCAACAATTGCAAGCTCATCAGAGAGTCTAACTGAACTGATGCACCAAGTGCTCGTCCAGTGCTGTTGATAAGGGAACCAACTGTTTTTGTTCCTTCTCTTTCATTCGTGTGCTGACTCCTTTCCCAGTGTTTCTCCTTCCATCCTGTCCAGACCTCCTCGCATCTGTTCCTCAGTTACTCTTCAACTCTGAACACCTCCATGAACATAACTTCTTTTCTGGCAACAACTACAGTGAAACTGCAGTGCATTAAGAAACCAGGGAGAGACTTTTTAACAGGGCCTGTTGCAATAGGACAAGGGGTACTGACTTTAAACTAAAAGAGGGGAGAGTCAGGCTGGACATCAGGAAAAAAAATTTTACAAGAGTGGTAAAATACTGGAAAAGCTTGCTCAGAGAAGCAATAGATGTCCCATTCCTGGAGACATTCAAGGCCAGGCTGCATGTGGTTCTGGACAACCTGATCTAGTTGACCATGTCCCTGCTCTTTGCAGAGGTTTTGGACTAGATGACCCTTGAAGGTCACTTCCAACCCAAACTATTCTATGAAAAGGAGAGAGGGTTGGTTTTGTTAGTGGATTTTTGCGTAGAAAAATTTCTGTACTTGCCTGATCACCCACTCAGCCTTTACTTTCCAGCAGCCCCTCTTCTTCTGTGTCCTCTAACCATCAGTACCTTCCCCAGTGTATCTTTCTTTCCCTCCTTCTGCCAAAGCAGTGCATTTCCTTCAGTTCAATCTTCCCCATATCTCCTGGATTACATGTCCTAGACAGGGAGGCTGCCAACAGTACTTTCTGAGGGAAGATTGCTTCTATTTTATATCTCACAGTGACTTTCTTTGCTGTAAACAGCTTTACTTTGAAGGCTGGGGAGAAGGGTCACCACTGTTTTCTATCCTATTATGAATGGAAGATGATACCTTTCAGATAATTTATTTTTAGGAAGAACTCAAGAGAGGCCTTAAAGCCTTGTAAATATTGCAAAGCCTTTAATAAAAATGGCACAGCTGGCAAACTGTGACTCACTGGGAGCCAAGTGTCTCCATTTATACATTCTGCAAAAAGAGCAACATTTTTCAATAAAGAGGTTAAGCCCTTTCCTATATAATTGAAAAGAAAACAATAAGGGTCCTCTCATACTATCTAGGATTATGGTATTTATACTGGGGTTATACCTGTGCTAGTTAAACTCACACCTTTCTTGAGTAAATATGTGTTAAGCCACATGGAGAAACTGTGAGACTGGAGTGATTGCTGTGGCTGTTTAAGGCTATGAGAAGGTTATTAGAGGGGTGCTGCAGTGGTCTTGGGGGAAAAGATCCCAGGCTAATTGATCTTTCTGCCCACAGCAGCACATATACTTGTATATCTCAGTACAGAGCTGGTATAAAGAACAGCAAAACACAGGAAAAAAATTCCCCAGGCTGAATTTTCTGATATTAGACCAGGCTACCAGGCTGCAGACTCACCACTATCACTTACTAGATATCGCTGTCTTGGATGGATACATGAATGAAGTATGAAGTTGTCGAAACCAGGACAGAAGTAAGTAAAATAAGGAGCAGACCTTTTGATTTATACAAAAGACCTTGTTATACTTTCTCCAGCCTGGGGACTGCATTTTCAGTCAGCTCAGTAACCAAGTCCTAGCAGCCAACCAAAGAACCGTGCCTCTTTGGTTCTTCCAATTCACAACACACAGTATAACCCCATTTCCAGGTACTCAGACATACCTGCAATGAGACTCCCTGGACTGCCAGCAGGAACGCAAGCCATCTTAATGCAGAGGCTGCGTGGTCTCCAAATGAATGGTAGAGGTTGAGATAAGTAAAAGACAAACAGTCAAATTACAGTCTTTGTCCTCACCACTAACAAATTCCACTGCATTTAATCTACCCAGAGACTTTCTCCCTTAGCAGGACTGTCTTGGAAATGCAGCAGACATGAGGGATGTCTCAGGATAATGCAATTCTAGATGCATAATTTATAAAAGGAAAACAGAAGAGAAAGGAAAGAAAGCCATCTTAAGCCAGCTGCTCAGGGAAAGAGATACATGAATCCACTGTTACTGTGACAGACACCTTTTCTGAAGGTACTCCACTTGCATTAAGTCAGGGCCAGTTTTAAGCACAAACAATAGCCTAGAGCTCCCTACCTCAGAAGGTCTCAGGCAGCCTTGCCACCCAGACCAATCACCTTGTAGCAATAATCAAAGGGAATGACAGACCAGAAACAGAAACTTTCAAGGCTAAAAAAAAAAAAAAAATCTGTATTTTAAACATGACTTGTCCTAGAGAGGCTTCCACTTTAACTTTTAAGCACTACTGGGTTTTATTACATTAACACTGCAGTCAGCTGGCACTCTGAGTTGAAAGGGTTCTGCCTTATTAGCTCATCAGTTCCCAATATTCCAGAACAGGAGAAAATTTGCTGTTCTGCAATTTTAACTGAGCACTCATTTATCTACAAATTAGAATTTAAACATTTGGTTGTGTTGTGTAAATGCCTTTCTGTTTAGAGGCCATGGGACTGTTACAACCAGCTATGACTAAAATGAATAGAATTTAGCTTCTAAAGCCATTAAGCAACATTCAGATCATTTTCAGCAATTTCACCTCCAAGCAAAAAAAGCAAGAAGATAAACCTGTAAAGCAGCTTTTATTGTTTTAAGTGGCAACCTGTTTTTCTTGCTTGTTGACACATGTCTCTGATTAAGGCAGCTGAAAAGATAAATCATCATCACAAGAAATTCCAGGTTTCATTTAAGAGCATGCCTAATCTTAAAGATTTCTTTTTAATAACATTAGTTACAAGTGTTATACTAGTGTTTAGAGTTGTGACCCAAAGTGTTAGGTACTGTACTACATAATTTCTGATTTGAACAACAGTGTTTTGGGGGACTTCGCTCACACTAGCAGTCTGCAGTTCTGACTGGTGGCTGGCCAGTGCCTGGCAAAACGCATCTGCTAGGAAATTCCTGTGGAAAGAGACATTCTTTCAGGGCAAATGGAATAGACTGGATTCCAAAGAATGCTTGAAAACTAACTTGCACCCTCAGCAGGAGCATTTGGTTGACTTACATATACAGAGAAAAAGGGTTTCCAAGATGTATTCAGGTCTAGATAACTTTATCTAGAGTGGGGAAAAACAAACCCTGGAGCTGGAGATATCTCCATGATCATTAAACAGGTGGTCTCTGAGACCTTGAATGTAAAGTAGAGCCAAAAGTTATAAAGAAGGTAGGAAGGAAAAACAAGCAAACAATCCATCCCAGAAATATTTAATTGGCCATATGCTGATTGCTGTGATAGCATGGAAGCAAGAATTGGTGGGTTTTGCAGAATCCTAAGGGGTTACACTCATCCTGGGGCTTAAGTAAAATCCTGCCACAAGCACCTGAGGCTTGTATTTGGTCTCACATGCAGGATACCTACAACATGCAGTCTCCAAATGGCAGGTGTGACAGGGCAAAACACAATCACTACTTTAAAGCTGTTTGATATGTAAATAATTTCAGCTATTAGGAATGGGCAGTCATCCTCTTTGATTATTAATATATTTCTACAAGTTATTTATCTGTAATTGTTCATACTTACTTGTAATGTTATTGTTATTACACCCAAAGCACCAGTCTTGCCTTCTTGATGCTAACACAACATTGGGATGAACCCATTGATTTTATGTAGAAAGACATTTTTGTAAGTGCAAATAGAGCAAAGGGATTCACATTCCCAGTCCATAATGGATTTGCTTTAATGTTTTATTCAGTGAGCACCAAGCATGGTGCTTAAGGAATGAAATACATGTCTTGTGGACCAGTAATTGGGAAGAACTTTAGATAAGGCAGGTGTTAAAATTGTGCTGAGTATCCAAACACCAGTATTTCCTAGGGACACAGTCTCAGTCTGTTCCTCTGTTGCATCTGTGCTGCTCAGATTCCCCATACACAGCATGGCCCATGGCTGTATAGCATCATCTCAGTTTAGAGAGCTGCCTGTTACCCACTGACAAGCAGAACCCTCAGGTTACTGTAGTACTTAAACATGGATGTTTAAATGTGCCTTAGAGCTTGTTTTCACAGGGAGATAATGTCAGATAGTATGAATAAGAACAGCAGCAATAATCCCAGCATGGCTCCCACTATGGACAAGTTTGCACCATTAAAATCTATATGTAAAGACATTTAATAAATAACTTCCCACCTCTAACTCTGAAGTAAAAGTACACAGCAGCAGTGATGCCATCCCTGGTTTCTCTTCCTCAGCATTCATCTTCCTGAATCAGCACCTCATCGCATGCTTGGCCATACATTACTGTCAGCTGTTGTGCTACGGAACTGTAAACTCTTCTTACATGTGTGTTTTTGCTGCCATTCATGAAACACCAGAATGAAGTTCAGACCTCATAAAAGTTGATTGCTGTACATGACTCAGACATGGTATATATTGGATGTGGGTGAACGTGGCTCAGCTGCACCTATGGGCTGTGGGTTTTTTTCTCTTTTTTTTTTTTTAGATTTCCCAGGAGTGGAAACTGGAAAGCAGAAAAAGCAATGGTGCATTCAGCCAGGTTTTTGCTTTACCTTGCTCAGAGAGTGAGCTCTAGCATCTTCCTCATCTGTAAACACTAACTTTCCTTCCTGCTGACCTTAGTGGTAGCACACAGGTGATATTTTGTTTCATTTAGATGAAAAAAGTTACATTATGCATACAAAACCCTGAAGTCTAGCAAACGCCTTTCACTGCTGTTAGAAATACTTCCTTTTACCTTTGGTAGCATAAAATAAGGCAGCAAAACAGTCATCAAGTGGCACTACAGGAGAGGCAATGCCACACCTGCACAAGATCTGACCCAGACTTTCTTGTCTCCAACTCAGGAGACATACTGTGCATGTTATATGTGTGCTCCTTCAACAGCTTGTTAACAGCACTCCGGTCCCAAGCATCGGTTTGGTGCTATAATTTAGCTGCATCTGTAACTGGAGCAAGTGAATTCTTTTTAGGCTATCTCTCCACCTGGATTGCACCATACCCCATGTGATTTCTGAAATGCTGTTTGCTCCTTTAGTAGAGTTAAGTACACAGACTGAGCCTATGATGGCCTACAACATGGGGAGTAATATTAAATGATATATGAACTGTTGATCCTCAAGAGAGGATTATCTGAAGCACCTGTAGGGATCTCATTTGGAGAGAAGCTCCCAACCATTCAAGCAACAGCACAACAGTTGAAAGCAGTTAATATTTAGACTGACTCAGTGCCTTAATTACTCCCTGAAAATGGCAAGCAAAAGACAACTTAGGGAAAAAAAATAAATCTCAAACAAAACAACAAAACACAAACAAAAACCCAAACACCAACTCCTCCTAACTTTGAAGGTCGATTTGTTGGTGCACTCTTCTTTACTTGGGCACAGAGTAAGATGCAGCTTCTCTATAACAAAGACATTCCTGGAGAATCTCTGTCCCATTTTCGTCCCAGGCCAAATTAATTTTTCAAAGAATTTTCTGTTCTTCCCTCCTCTGAAGTTTCCTCAGTCATTTTCTTACATAACTAGCTACTTCTTACAATTTATGTACGAACCCCTTCCTTTCCAGCTTTCTCTGGGCTGTGCATGTTCTCAGATCTGTGTCCTCCTCCTGTGACAGGACTTCTGTGTTAGAGCAGAACTGGCCTCTGGCAATAAGCTCTTCCAGAGAGGGCCAGTAAATTGTCAAGTTGACATCTCAGGGCAAGCTTGCCCTATGTTTTCATTGTAAGCCTAATTTATTGGCATGGTTTTGTACAAAGCAAGTTCCCAAATGAGACCTCAGATTTGTGACCAAAGACCAGCATCAGGTTTAAATTGCAAGTACTGAAAAACAGTTTTCAAACTCTTCCAGGAGATATCCTAGAGGTGTTTTGGCTTTGCTTTTGGTGACGAACCTCAATTCCTCTGAAACTTTTCAGGTTTAGGACATAGGCTAGATCCTTCAAGGGGATTTAAGATATTTTAAATTTCAGAAGGTTGTGTAAACACATCAGTCTATAAACAAAATAGCTAAGATGTTTGGGCTCTACAGAAGGACTTACTTTCAAATGTAGTTCCTTTTTATTCAGGCTTCTTTGGTTTGCTCTGAGTCATTTCTGTAGCAGCTGAAAATAATAGCCAGTCTTGGGTTATATGTAATATGAGAAGGTGAATACTGTCATAGTTATGACAGGCATTAGTGGAAAACAGGTACCAAACTCTTGTGAAAGTGCCTCTACCTTGAGATCTAATGAAAGGAAACAGTGTTGCACCATGACACTTACTGATCTAAAAAGGGGAAAAGAAAACTGAAGCGAGATATTTGCAACAGATAAATAGTAAAAAGGGAGATTCACATTTTTCACAAGAACTTCCTTCACAGACCCCTTCATCCCTACGAGCAAGGAGTTTTGAACACGGCTACTGATATAGCAGAATGCTCCTCAAACATGGGAGGAGCAAAGCCACCCCTTAGTTTTTGGAGGAGAGAATACAAGAAATATACCTGTCAGGTAGTGGGACAAGACAAGGCTCTTCAAGGTTGCAACACTCTGCCAATTTCTCCTGAAAAGCAGTAGGGGCTGGGTGATGTTATGTTTAACTAAAGCAGACAACATGGGTGAGGAGAAAGGAGGAGGTCTTCAGAGCAACCTGCTGACATTTTATTTCGGGTGCTTTGCACACAGAAGGCTACAGGAGCTATGGTAGCAAGCACCAGCTACACAGGGCAGGTTAGGTTCCCCTCCACAAGGGTCATCTGTCAGACCAACCACATGGCCTCCTGTCCTCCAGGGGCACTGGGCTGGGGAATTCTTATTTGGCTCAATACCAGGAGCGTGGCCAGGCTTCAGGTACGCAACTAAAAAGCTCACTGAAAACTAAATTGGCAGAGCCTAGTGCAGAGCAATGGATGCTTTCCCCTACCAGGCCAGGAGCACCTGAGCCTTGGTCCTGTACACTTCACATCCTGAATGCTTTTTGGACGCAGGGGTGGAGTAAGTATTCCCATAGCCCTAAGCAGCTCCACAAGCCCCCTTTCACTCACCATATTGCCCATTACTGCTAGAAAAACATACATGCTCTATGCAGAGCTTCCATGTATTTCTTTGCTGAAATTGCATCATATAGAAGGCACTCCAAGGACTCACAGGATTTCTGTTAAGACATAGTTATTTGTGCCATACTCATGATGTTCATGAGCAAAGATAAATGAGCATTCCAACTCCTAAAGCATTTTAAGATACACAGTCCAAAAAATACCATGCATGCTGATTAAATGGAGTAGTAGGATTTATTGCAGGTATTCTCCTCTACACTGTCCCAACTGCACTTATACAACAGGGAGGTACTCTTGCACTTACTTCACATTTAAGGATTACTGGAAGCAACCATCAACTCTAAGAAAACCACTGCAAACATGAGTATTGCCATCACACTAGTATGAGTAGCACCTTCGCCTTCCCTCCTCCACCACCACCACTCCTGACTTATTTCAGCCTTTTTACTTCTGGGTGTTCAACTTGTTTTCAGTGAGCTCCTACTAAGGCTAAACCACCTTCCTGACTGCTGTATTGCCAACACCACCAGGACTGCAGCTCTACAGCAACAAGTCCAGAGACTTGCTGAGGGCTGTAGGTCCTTCTGTAACACCACCAGCTACCTTGAGGAAAGCACACAGAGTGAATCCTGGAGGCTTTACTGCTGCCACCCCTCCTCTAAGGCCTTTCCTCCACTACTCCTTACCGAGCTGCTCCTCCTGAACGGCCGATTGTAGCGCAGGTTACACGGTTCCGCTCGGCCAAGGTCACCGGCCCCTTGGTTTGGGGAAGCCTTGGGAAGAACGGAGCCTCCGCCTAGGTGCCCTTGGGCGGGTGGAGCATGGGCTGACCGCCGGTAGCGGACAAACCGAGGCCCCGCTCTGCGGGACACCACTCCACGCATCACCCTTCCACACCCCCCGCCGCTCTTAAATACCTACCGCGCTGCTCCGCCCCACTCCGCGCCGCTCCGCGCCCGCCGGCAGCGGCAGCACCGGGGGCCGGTCCCTGCCGCCCCACTCCGCCCCGCCCCGCTGCCGCAGCAGCTGCGTGGAGCCAGGATGGGGAAAGCGTTTACCGGGGCTTCACCGGCCTGGCGGCTGCTGGGCCGTGCCGTGTCTCCTTGCAGTCTTGCGGCTGTCGGCGGCATCATCCTAACGATGTTCTTGCGTAACGCGCTTCGTGTCCCTGCTGCGGGGACCCGGACACCAGCTACACTAGCTGCACCAGCCCTCCCAGGGATACTGCCTCGTATTCACTGCCCGTGCTTTCTATCGTATGCATTCTTTGTAATATATAAGCTTGTAACACACTTTATAGCACAGTGGACGCATGAAAGGGTGTCTGGTGTGGGGGCAGGTGCCTGGGAGCTTCCCAGGTGAAATGGGCTGAGTGGGAGAGACCTGAGCATTGCAGTGTGCTATGGCACGGCTGTGAGCATACGCACTGATATGGGCCTGTGAGAAGGGTGATAATATATCAGATGAGGTGTTCCCAGAAAAGAGATATGGATGGACAAGTCCTTGCAAGACTTTATCTGGAATCCTGTGATGACTACTGAAATCCTACATGACTACTACTGCTAACCACAAGGCTTTGCTTTCCTTAGTTTATTCTGTCCCTTGTATATAAAAGCATGATTTATTGTCCTGCTCACTGCCAAAGAGCTACTTAAAACTTAATATATTTGTAAGTAAGAAATAAAACTAACAGAAATGCTTTGTTCAATGTATTCCCCTTGGGCTGCAGGATACCAGGATCTCATGAAGCGGAGCAATTGCAGATCCTGATCTTGACAGGCTGATCCTATTTCTTAGCCTTAAAACCTGTTACTGTATGATACTAATTAAGTGATAAACAAATGGCATTAAGAAAGGTTGGGTTTTGTCTTGTGTTCTTTTGTTTAAGATGTTGTTTTTTTGCAGGTGGCCTATGGCTTCAGCTTTGGGACCAGCAGGGTAGTGCTGCTTGAGATGAGGTATCCCTGGGTTGGTGACATCTCCAAAATGAATTTTGCTAGTGTAGTGTCTGCACCCAAAACTTTGCACTGGTACTCTACCAAAATGAAGAGCTTGTGGAGAATGACCAAAGTCCTTGCTGGGTGCATGGGCATGAGCCAGCATCCCATTTAAATGGACACATCAAATGAATTAAAGAGTGTGCTGGCTCTGAGCACAGCATGATAGGTTCAGTGAAACGTCTGTACTTTTCACCAGAGCAGGGGGGCTCCAGGCATTGCCATGCGGGCTCATGCATGCTGTTTGGATGTGCTGCCAGCCTAGGTCTGGATTTCAGCAGTGCTGGGAACCGCTGGTTGTCCTGCTCTGCCCTGAGCTGTTGAAGGAGCAGTGAAGCAGCTGCTTTACAAAGCCTTTCTTTAAAAAATGCCTAAGCCAGACACACCTGGGCATTGGGACTTAGATGTTGAGCAGGAGCTGCAGAGAAACTCACATTGCCTTTCAGGGCAAAAGTCCTTAACTTCAGTTTTCCGCACTTGAAAACGAGGGTGTTGTGAATGTGGTCCAGGTGTGGGCAGGACCGGGGCTGTTGCTGGTGCCAGGTCCCTGCCTTGATCAGCAGCAGGCAGCTCCCACAGCTGAAGGTTGGCTAAGGGCACTTGCTTGAGGCTGGTTAGGAAGGAACATCCCCAAAGCATATGGGAGCCTGTGGGTGTAGTGTAGTGTGCCTGTCCTCAGCCATGGCACTGAGACACCTGGGGAGGCCCTCCCCCTGCCTGACCCTCTGGGGTACATCCCCTTCCATGGCAGATGGATGAGCTGAGCTATGGGAGTCACCTGCTGAAAAATAAGTTTATTTTGCCAGTGTCTCTCTGTGCCACAGAGGTGAGAGCAAATGGCCAGGAGCAGCATGAGAATGTGGCTGATGAAGCAGTGCTCTGAGGGTTTGACTACAGCCTGTCTGGCTGTAGGCACTAACTTCTGTTTGGCTTATGGCTGTGCTCACACTGAAGAAGAAGACACATGCACCCACCCCCCAAAGGCAGTAGGTACCACAGTGAGCCCAAAGACTGGAGCTAGCCGCAAGGTTATTCTTACTTTTACAAGTAGAGCTGCTTTTTACAACTAGGTGGGAACTGTGAGACAAAGAACTTGTGCTGGTAAATTGCCTACTTTTCTGTGCAACAAGCTGACTCTCAAATATGTGCTTTTGCAGGTGAGCTGAAGTTTGCACATTCTCTGTAGCTGTGCAGTGGTTTGTTCGGCTCATAGTTTCACTCTGCCAGAGGTGGCTGTCACCACAGCTCTGCCCGCAGAGCTGGTCATGGCTGTGCTCCCCAGTCTGCCTCTGGGTTGGTGGGGACCTTGCTGCAGAGAGGGGAGGTTTGTCCCAGATGTGTGGCTGTGGGAGCTGGGGTCACCTCCAGTGCAGCAGGGACATGTTATTGCTGTGCTGGTATCAGCTGGTGTCTTCTGAACCACAGAAGACTGTAAAGGAATGCAAACTGTTTCAAGGGCTAGATGTAACTGCTGTTATTAAAGGTGTTCTTGTAATATTTGAGCACATTTTAATGATGCTTTAAAAATGCCCTTTCCTCAATTAATATCTTTAAAAGGTACTTAAGCAAACAATCCTGCATAGGCAGCAAAAGGGCAATCAGGATGTGATGCTTTTGTTCCCAGCTCATACAGCGAGAGCAATACCTCTTTCTTCTGCTGCGATTTTTATGGATGCTGACTGCAGAGCTGATGCTTGCTTAGTCTTTGACCTTAAAAAATACTTATGCAGAGGTTCTGTTTTAAACAAATATAGTTGTGCCCCTCTCTAGCTCGAAATAGAGCTCCCATTGGTCCTGGAAGATTACGGGAGCCCCTCACTCTCCCTGTGCATGCAGCTTAGCTTGGTAAATTACCTGGTGCCTAAGTAGATGGTGCTTGAAATGGTAAGAGTGTTTTTGCCAGTGCTAGAGCAGCAGGTGGGTATCACTTACACCAATCCCATAAAAATACTTGCAAACGCATTCTTGGTTATCAGAGCACTTGCTCCATGCAACTGCTTTAGCTGTTAGGGTATTTTTCAAAGAGGAGTTTACAAATAGCTTTCCCACAGTCTCATTATCACCCTGATGATCTGTTACTGTCTTGCTTCACTCGCTCCCACTGATTGCTGCTTTAGAATCATGGAATCGTAGACTTGTTTAGGTTGGAAAAGATGTTTAAGAGCATTAAGTGCAACCATTAACCTAGCACTGCCAAGTCCACCACTAAATCATGTCACTGTCACATCTACATGTATTGTAAATATCTTCAGGGATGGTGACTCCACCACTTCCCTGGGCAACCTCTTTCAGTGCTTGTAGTAATGTTTCCTAATACCCAACCTAAACCTCCCCTGGTGCAGCTTGAGGCCATTACCTACCTTGTGGTCCTATAACTTATTACCTGGGGGAAGATACCAACCCTTACCTCACTGCAACCTCCTTTCAGGTAGTTGTAGAGAGTGAGAAGGTCCCCCATGAGCTTTTTTTTCTCCAGGCTAAACAAACTCCAGCTTCCTCAGCAACTCACCGTGAGAGTTGTGCTTCAGACCCTTCACTCATGAGGTGCCAGTTTATGTAAGATGAAGGTTCAGTGTGTATATGAATGACATACACTATCTTATCAAATGGAGAAGGATTTGCCTTACAGTGAATTATGGATTTGTAAATAATCAAACGTTGTCTGCCTTAAGAGAAGACAGGGCTTCAGGGACCCCAACAAGCCCTGCTGGTGTTTCAAGGATTTGTGTTTCCAGGGGAGAACCTTACCAAGAAGGATGGTCAGAACTGCCTTCTGATTGAATTGAGGGTTAATATCTTTTTCGTGAGAAGTAGGACAGTATTTATTCTAAAGGAGGCCGTGGTTTGATTAATCATGCATTGCTGCCGAAAGAGGGAAGGCTCTTTCCCTTCACCCCCTTTTTCTCCCCGAGCTGCCTGCTCTGGGTGGTGTCCTCCACTCACTGACCCAAGAGAAGCCCACTGGCTTGCACCTTGGAAGAAATGAAAAGCAAAACAATGAAACAGGGACAAAAGGAAAGTGAGGAAAAAAAAAAAGGAAATGAAAACTTCTCTACTAGACCAGCTGGA